TGATTTCATTCATACAGGATGCTCACAATATGATAGAAATTATACAGGGTGGTCCGAATTTTATGCAGGAAACTTCGAGGGGAGATAGATCTCTTTAAAATAATAGGTGTTTGCTTTATAAAATAGGTCTGGAATGGCCCCGTTTTAGAGATACAGGGTGTTGAGGTTGTTAAAAACGAATGATTTTTTATTTATATCTCCGGAATCTATTGATAGATCTCAATAAAATTTGGTACAGATAATCAATGAGAAGGCCTTGCATTTCCTAAAATATGAGCTCTAAAGGTACAACCAGTGGTGTACAACTGGGCAGGAGTCATCTCCTTTTTTATAAAAAAAACCTACGCCATTGCATTTTTTACAAGTTATTGTAACGGATTTATATTCTAATCTACAAAATGCGTAAAAAAGGTAACTTGAATTTCATACCAATACAATCCCCTTGTGGCAGACGTTTCTAACAATAATATTACAAAAATATTTATGTTTATGCTTAAAAGTAAGTGGAATTTGTAAGCACATCAACAAAATTCTTTACACTCGTTTCCACACCACCTGTGAGGTAGAGTTCCTTACGCGTTTTAGTTTCCCCTGGAACCTAACCCACTATCTTTACAAATAAGAACAACTTAAATCAAAATAATAATAAATGTATATTTACCAAAGGCGAGTGGTAGCGAATTTTCACAATCTGCATATTTGGTCACAAGAAAATCCTCATGAAATTCAGACAAGATCTTTTCAACACGAACTTTCTGTAAACGTGGGGCTCGGAATAATTCGCAATAAAATTTGTAGATCTTTCTTCTTGCCACCCCGTCAAAATTCCCAGTCATTTCTAAACTTTCTAGAAAACCATCTATTTGAATTATGAGAGGATGTTCCATTAAATATACGACAAAAGAGCTGGACACAATGGATGGTGCTCCTGCGCATTCTGGGAGAATAATATAAGAATGGCTTAATGAAAATTATATGGAGCGATGGATAGGTAGAAGACCAAATGCCAATATTAACCATCATGGTGCAGAGGGTCCAGTGTCTTGGCCAGCCAGATTGACATATCTAAACCCCCTGAACTTCTATGTTTGGGGTTATCTGAAAAGTAAAGTATATTCTACTCCGACAGATACAAGACCACAAATATTGCAACGAATAGAAGACAGGTGTAATGAATTAAAAGAATACCAACACATGATATTAGCTTCAATTAATTCCATTAATAGATGTCACAAATTTATCGACGTGGGTGGTTCGCATTTTGAGCAATTGTTGTAAATACGTAACGTTAATTTTGCTTCTTGTTTAGTTGCTTGGTAAATATATTTTTATTATTATTTTGATTTAAATTGTTCTTATTTGTAGAGCATTAGGCCTCCAGGGAAAACTAAAACACGCCAGGGACATTACCTCACAGGTGGAATGGAGTGTAAATAATTTTGTTGATGTGCTTACAAATTGCACTTACTTTTAAGCATAAACATAACATAAATATTGTAATATTATGGTTAAATGTATGTATGAATAACTTGAGAATGGCGAATATTAGGGAAAAAATTAATGTCACCTTTTTTACGTATTTTGTGCATTAGAATATAAATCAGTTACAATGACGTGAAAAAAAATGCAGTGGCGTAGGTTTCTTAGTAAAAAAAAAGGGGGACCCCTGTCCAGTTGTACACCACTGGTTGAACCTTTAAAGTTCATATTTCAGGGAATATAAGGCCTACTGTCATACAATATATATACCAAATTTTATTGAGATCGGTTAATAGATTCCGGAGATATAAACAAAAAATCAATTTTCTTAACAACTTCAACATTCTGTATCTCTAAAACGGGGTCGTTCCAGACCTAGGTTTATAAGGCAAACACATATTATTTTAAAAAGATCTATCTGCCCTCGAAGTTTCCTGCATAAAATTCGGACCACCCTGTATATTTTTTTTTATTGTACCAGAAATGAGTTTCACAGCGAAATAATATTTAAATATTACTGTTTTCTATTAGCCCACCACCATTTTGAATGCATTGTTCAATTCATCTCTTCTTATTTCTAATAACTCTCCTCAACTGATGTGGTGTTATTTGTCGACATTCTTGTCAAATTCTATTACATGCTTAATTAAAATAATTAATGTTTTATGGGATTCTACGTGGTCGATTTTTTTCTAAACGCAGAGATTTTCTTGAATTTTTTAAATAATGATTTCTGGAATTCAGTACATGCACTTCCTCTTCATGTAATACAGAATCTCTACCTTCAATTAGATGGAGCACCTATTCATGATGCGATAATAGTAAGTCATTGATTGAATGAGAGTTTCCCGAGAAAGTCGCAACAGTCCGTTAGTTGAGTGGCCGTCAAGAGCTCCAGACTTAACGCCTCTTTCTTTTTATGGGCAACTTTGAAAAATAAAGTGTATTAAACAAGACCCCAGAAGATTTATGTAATAGAATTTGAGAACCACGTCGACAAATAACATTACATCAGTTGAGCAAAGTTATGAGAAATAAGCACAGTGGACTAATAGAAAACAGTAATGTTTAATTTTTATTTTGTTGTGAAAGTCATTTGTTGTGAAAGAAACTTTAATGTTTATGCATAATATTTTTTTTGTTAATATTTATAATTCCATACGAAAAAGGGTGCTACCTCATGAACAAAATCCCAAGTAAAATGCGAAAACAGAAAAATACACATGGATGTAGAAGCTGTTTTTTTAAGTGATTATTCTTTGTGAAGTTTAATACATAGTAGGACAACATTAATACAGGCTATTTGTTTGAATGAATGCATTAATTAACAATTTATATTATTTGTTTCCCACAATATCAGCAGTTCGGAGTTTTGTTAATGGTGTTAGATATCTTTTACATATCTAGATTTCTGATATCGAATAATATAAACTGACTTCATTTAATATGAGTTTTAGAAAAGAAAATTATACTTGTTCGAATTAGCTTATTCCTATCAAATTTTTGCTCATTAGAAATGGCCATAGAAATGATTTTAATTTTCATACAAAAGTTCTCTTTACCGACGGGTTATATTTTACGTGAAGGAATCACTAATTTTTATAATAAATATCTTGAAGACGATGATGAATAGCATCATTTCAAGGTATTCAATCAATGCATTTTCAACACAGAATAAAAATTAACGGTGTAGATTATTGTGACTTGTTTCTTTAAGAAGCTTTTCAGGAAAAGGTTTGTAAAAATTGAAAACGAGAATCAATTGTGGATGATTTTTACTGCTGGGAGCGTTCTTCGTGATGTTATACGAAAAGAGCATTACAATTTCCTACGTAGAATTGATACTTTACCTTACAGTAAACCGCAATCATTTCGAATATCTTTATAAGGACACTTGGTATTGCTTTTCATCATTTTTGTTGTTATTATTATATTACTTGTTTAGATATTTAATTTATAAATGCTGTTTTTAAAAACTCTAATGTCTACACAGACACATGAGTTTATTAAGAAACAGAAACTAGAAGAATGCCAAGAGATAGTATTTTCCTATTCCTTTCAAACGTATACAACCGATTAATCTCGTTAAAAGAATAAAAGTTCATATACACATAGTTATGAAAATATATTTCTTGGGGAACAGAAAGAACAAAAGAACTTACACACGGCAGTTTTCTATAAAAGATCTGCAGGCGGAAAAATATTTTGAAAAAAGGGGAGGGGAGTCACCTTACCGCCGTACGTGTTGAGAATGAAATGTTTGAAAATTATTTATACTGTTTCAAATGTAATTTAAAATGAATGTAATCTTTGATAAACGCTTAAATGGTTAGATAGAATCTACCGATCTTATAGCAGTGTATTAGTGCTAAAGCTTATTAACAAAATTGTCCAAGGTTTCCTATAAAAAAATTGTCGAAAAATCAAAACCGGAACAACGGTGACCTCAGTTAAAATTAGTCACAGGTTAACCATCTTCCTTAAACGGTATTTACTTATTAAAAAAATAATTAGATTGTTAAAATTTGTAATATCTATACATTTTGTCACAAGAGTATTGAGTAGTTGTCCTTAATAATTTTTGTAAAACTATTTTCCTACATACACCTGCTTATAATACACCGTATAATTTACTTCATCATTTCTTTTACAAATTAATTTTGTAAGTACTAAATTAGTCACTCCACTGCACACAATTTAATTAAGCTAGTATTGTTGATATGGAAAGGTTATATTTTGTAAATTTAAACAATTGTTTTAAAAGTTCATCTACTTTTTATGGGAAGCAGATTAACTGAACTGCTAAATGGGAATAATTTTTTATTTGTCTGAACGTAAAAATCAGCAATTTACATTTACTTTCCTCTATTTCTTTGTCTTAGTTTCATTGAAATGATCGTGTCATTGAAACATTTGTGTACAAATGGAGATTCTTTTTCATTCTAAACTCACATGGTTTTATTTGAAAATAATAATTCCTGGGACTTGCATAGATGATCGTTTTCCTGATTTGATATTCTGATCCTTATTGACATGTCTCTGTTTTAGTGTCCTTACCCAAATAACTTGATAGCAAAAATGTAAAATGGAATAAAACAGAATAGATTACCCTATATCTACATATACTTAGTCGTTGATCGTGAAAAGCCTCTTATGTGTAAAATACCATTCAACTTGAAATAGTACAGATGTTGTGAAACTAAAATTTCTTCTATGTAAACATGTACAGAAGCTATTCGGAGACGAATTTAATTCTTTTGCACATAGGAGGTTTATAAAAACACGATTTTATGAAAGAATGATTATAATTAGTAAATATGTGGATTTATTAAAATATAAAAGGAATGAAAATAAACTAAAAACCGGTCTAAATGCCACATAGGAGATTTTTCAAACTGAACGACGTTATGTTGAGAGAATGATAAATTAGAGCTACCACTGAATTATAATTTGGGATACTTCAATCGTTATTTAGAAATCCTTCTGTTTCACCTTTTTGGATATTAATTATAGATACTTACCACACGTCAATTTATCAAATTAAAGTTGGATTAAAGTAACTACCTGCAAATTAGAAATGTTTTTTTAATTCCGTTTCCAGCAATACAAATTCTGTTCAGAAAATAACCGAACTTTTTGAATTACGCTCTAATGAAGATAGTGAAGTGATATGCGACAGTTGGCAGCATTGCGTTGCGCAGAACCTCCTCTGTAACCACATGTTCTTGGATTGTTGAGTGCAATGTTACGAATAGTTTTCACCACGATTTAAAAATGCTCATCAGAAGATGATTCTCGTCCAAGAAGGCCTTCGACTTCAACTGATGATTGCCACCATGGAGACTTCACAAGGAGCACGAGCTCCACGTAAACAAATATCTTACCAAATTATAGGGCGCTAGTGTCCTATGTACCGAAATAGTAGAGGGGAAATAAAGAAAGTGGTAGATTGAATTAAAAATCAATCGTTTCGTTTTTGTGATATGTTACAAATCTTAAAATAAATAATGTAGGCTACTTTACATTAAATAAATATATCAATAAATACTGAAAATATGTAGGTGTACAAGGAACACTAACGACCTTAGCGGTAAAAACTATAAGTAATTTCTACTATTACATTGTCAAATTTTGTCAATTTTCCCGTATGAGTTCATGCTCCTTGTCTAGTCTCTCTAACTACCACGTTCAGAAAGTCAAAGATAGTGCGTGCTAATCGCCGACTGACTGTCAGAAAAATTGCAGAAGAGGTTAGCATCTCAACTAGGTCACGCCATGAAATTTTGACTGAAAAATTGACCATGCATCGAATTGAAACAAAATTTGTTACTCGTTTGCTGGCTGAACAATAAATAATCGTGTTAACATTTTTCGGCGATTCCTTAAACAATCCAATGACGATGAAACATTCATTCAAAGGATCATAGCGGGAGAGAAAAGCTGAATTTACAGCTGCGATATTGAGATAAAAGATACTATTATCACAATGATCTCCACGGCCTAAGAAACCACGTCAGTCTCGATCCAATATCAAAGTGATGTTCACTGTTTTTTTCAACTTTAACGAAATTGCGCATTTTGAATTCATGCCTCAAGGTGAAACAGTGAACTGTGTGTACTGTCAAGGCGTTTTACAACGGTTACGTGTAAGAATCCGCAAAAAGAGTTGTGGCGAGACAATTCATGGTTTTTCATGATGACAATGCGCCTGCGCACCCAACCTTGTCAATTCCCTCACCCTCCTTATTCGCCAGGCCTAGCTCCTTGCGATTTTTTAATGTTTCCGAAATGAAAATCAGTGCTGACAGGACGCCATCTTCAGACTATTGATGACATCAAAGCAAATTCGTTTAAAAAAAAGTTCTATTATTTTCTGAATAGATCTCGTATTTTTATATTTCCACTTTTACCTAGTATCTGTACTAGGTTACCTTTTATCTGTTCTGTTACCTGTTATGTGTTGTCTGTTATCTGTAATAGTTATCTGTTATCAAATAACTGTTATCTGTTAGGAATATGTCTTATTTTTTATTTTCTGATGTAAATTGTTCACTTGAAAATATTTTATTTCCAAAACGTTGCTAATTTTAACAAATTTATTGAAAGCAGCTATCTATGTAACTATAAATTGAATAGCATAGCTGTGCATTAACAACAAAAAGTTAAATATGTCCTCAAGAAATTTTCATAGTACTACTACGGAAAACGAGACAAAGAAACCCTGAGCGGAATACAAATAATTCTACTTATTATACTCACAATTGAAGAGGACATCCCTTGAATTTATATAAGACGATACAACGAGAATAAAAACAACATGTACTTTTGAAACAGTTTAATTATTATTCCAAAACAAATATTTGCAATTATCTACAATAAAAATTGACGTCCAGCGTCATCAGACTTAAATTAAATTATCACGTTTCACATAAATAACATTAATTAATGTTAAAATGCCAGTTAAAATAAAAAATTATAATCTAATACACAGCCATCAATGCCTACACATTAACAATAATAATAATACTATGTGGTGTGTAGGAATATTCTAATCTACAGATTTAGATAGTATTACGTAACTGACTTCATAAAGGAATTACTTAGCTGACATTGCAGACGCCATCGTTAAACTTTTAACGGTTGCGATAATGTATCCAATTAAATGTATTAGCACTTACAGAGAGTGAAAATTATTATTTACTTGAATTCGTTTATAAAATATTTCGTAATTTGGTGTAATATTGTATGTACCTCTCATAAAATATATAGGTGCGAAAACATATTTTGAAATTTATTTTAAATTTGAAGCTTGGTGGATTGTCATCGCTATCCCTAAAAAATAATATGAAATTTAAAGCAAGGATGTTAACAAAAATTTAAAAAATACAAAATATTTTAGTCGTAATATAATAAACGGAACAAATCACTTCTCATCATGTTACGTAAGGTAAACTTTAACAGCTGAGTCAGATTGTGGTAAAAAGTTACTATTAAAAGTAAATAATACTTTTCCTTAAAAAAGTTGTTCTTGAAAGGACCATTAACCTTTTATTGAAGATATAAAAAAGTAATAAAAAGTGTTTCTCAATCGTAATCGTCATTGGAAATCCAAATGAGTGACCAGACTTCAATATCCGTTAGGTATGACTTGCATCATTTTATTCCATGTTTCTATAATTTTAATATTGAGATACCAAACAAAGACAAAATTGGTGTTGGACGTAGTATCAGAATTTTGACGATATTTCTAATTTAATTCCCTTGGAACTTTAAATGTTTCGCATATGTGCAAAAAATCAGGAATGAACAAAATAGAACATGGTTGAATTTGTTATGTTCGAATTGTTTCTCCGCTTGAAACTATGGCAAACTGTTAAGTCACTGTACAAATGTTTCAATTATTATTATGTGAAATGTATTATTAATTTAATTTAAAGATGCTCCCAATAAAATCAACTGTAATTTTAGTGTTCGATCATATTGTGCATCACTCATGTAGAAATTCTATCAGGAATAATCAGATAAACTTTAACTTTACAAGAATTTATGTTAGCAGTTCTTGCAAATTACTATAAAAATATTTCGTCCGTTAACCAACAACTGTATCATAAAAAAATATCTGTAATTAAAGGTATTTTTTCCTTCACCTGCACTAAGCTGCATCTCGAGAAGAAAAGTGCACCTCCATCAGAAATATAACGCAGTGCAAAATGCACCATGATAAACCTTTAACAAAATTATAAATACTAAATTACTACTCTTTCTAGTAACGCACCTTAAGAGAAAGAGCAGAGTATAGAAAGAGTAATTTTCATTTGGTTTACTAGAGGAGGAAAAAGAAAAATATTTTGTATCAAGATGAAACCTAATTCAGATGATTGCGAGCCAAGTTCAAATACAAATAAGGAACTGCCAACAATAATTTTTATTGTATAATAAATTTTATTTTGACCACCTTGTACACCGAAGTCGCCGTCTGCTTTAAATTGATCTAATTTTTCAATGCCATTATACATTCACTTGATTTGTTATTTCCATACAACGAATTCCTCTATACAATCAACTCTACACACAATATTTAAAGACACAATTGCGTCGAAGTAGTCGCAATTTTACAAAAGTATAAAAATAACTTATTCAGTTCAGTTACATCTAGTTCTTGTATTAGATTCTTAAATGGTAACTAATGACAAAAACTGGCTATTGTCACCCCAGTCACAGGTTTCCTCTTGGTTTCGCAAGCATTCCATCGGTGACATCAAAGACGAAACTCGTTAAGTCTCAAGATGTAGATCAACACATACGTGACTCAACTCACACTATTCTCTGGTGCCCTCTCACGACGTCGTTTTTATTGACGGTGCACTGTCGTTGTTTTTATAGAGTTGAAATAAGTTTATCACCGATAGCGTGTTTACTGCTGGGGTTGGCGGAGTGTGGGGCGTCCGGTTTTCTATTGTTTCCGATGTTTTCGCACTGTATCCGCTGAGTTCCTTGACCTGCTTCAGCTGTTCTAAGGCTTCTTCGTAGGTCGGCAGACCGGAAGCGATGGTGTAACTTGGCAACTCCGATTCACCGGTTCCCGACTCCAAACTTGCTGCGTTCCTCGCCTCTATAACTGTAAAAAAAACACACTGATCATTATTTTTGTTTACTGAACTGAGGTAAGTTATGATCTACAGTTACGGTAAATGAAACAATAGCGCAAATGAGGTACAATTATTACGGTACGAAGCTATTTAAAAAATACGTTTGTCACCGTAGCAATTAAATGTTCGTGAAAAAAAAAAACATTAATAAATTAGGTACCTCATTTCTGGGAATGTCTCTATTTTCAGATAAAACTGAAATAAATACAGCGTGTGCCACTAGTGCGGGAAAGTCAAATATCTATGTTAAAGTGAGGAATACGAGTATATGGATTTTTCTTTTTACTATGTTGCCACATTTGTCGGAATGTACAAATTAAAAATATATTCAACTATACAGGGTGTTCCACTTTTCCTGGCCAGACTCCAATATTGGTTTTTTAAATGGAAACTCACATTTTTTATATTTTTTTCGGATTCTACATAAAAAATAAAGAGTACTAGCGATATTCTGATCGTACTACAATTTAAAAAAGTATAAAGTGAAACTTAGTTTTTCTCATTATCATAGAAATAAAAAAATTATTGCCTCTATTAGCTTCCATCACTGGTTTTATTTTCTATTAAAAGAAAAATGATAATATCTGACAATTATTGTGAACATTTCATCAAAATTAAGAATTGCAAATGACTATAAATAAACTTCAGCAGCTAAGTACTTCCTTTCTTATCTAAATCAGGTAAATGTAATTGTATTCTGTAATATCCAAACGAGTAGATGGATAATATTTCTACACTCAGAATTATTGAGGAAAAAACGTAATAGCTTCTAAAATCAGGGAATGAAGTAGAGCAAGCACAACGCAAGAAGGTAATGACCTACTAACTGTTCCCCTTCCTGTTTGTTTTTACTTTACCTTCGGATGGTTAACGAAGTTTTTATCACTTCAAATTATCTACTCGAAATATTTTAAAACGTTTATGGTCTCATGCACTACTGAAACAATTGCTTGGTTAATTGATGTTTCATTGTTACCAGCTTACTCCTTTTTTTCGAGCAATTATTGCTCATCATTAAACGCAAATGACCATTTATTGATTTGGTGTTACTATTTTATATAAAAAAGATTTAACTATAAAGCTAAAAGTGATATGTCCAAGTATATTTAATATAAAAACACAAAATTAATAAATTGTTAAACAGTGTAATCATTAAAAGTATTTTGTATTTTCTCATTACCTTTGATAAAGATGAACAAGAAAAATCAACTACTACAAAGAGATCTTTTTGTCTCTATATTGTTAGTAATAGAATATATGTTTTAAAATAATAATATTTACTATCAACAATATGCAAGTTACGTAGTATTTGAATTTATATAATATATAAAAAAACAATGTAAGGTCACAAATACTGATTTCAAACAGATCTGCTACTAATGATCTACTTTTCTCTTATTACAAATTTCACTGCTAGATTATGATCAAATATCAACATTTAAAATTAATCACAAGTAGCACTTTCCAAATAAAAATTACATCACAATTTTTTTCTTGGAGTTAAATTGCAATTAAAAATAAAGCTTCCAGTTTCTATTTTTGATGTGTCTCCTTATTATTGGCTGTTTATAAAGGGCTTGTTTTGCACCAATAAGAAAGAGATATTTGCATCTGAAAACGGCTTAACCGTATTGACTTTAATAGGCAAAATTATTTTCTGTAACATTGGCAGACCCTCTATCGTTGACATATTTATTTAATTTTATTAGAGTTCGTTTCGGCCTGCATCTTGTGTATGATACATTTTGCGCCTACGCTTTAAATTCTGGTCGTAAAAGTTTGTTTCTGCGACAGTCTCAAACTGTTTTCAAACTATCAGTTTCAAACCGTTTCAAACTGTCAATATCAAACTATCTTCAAACTATCAGATAGATCAGAACCTATCAGATATCAGATCAGATATCAGATCAGATATCAGATCGGATATCAGATCAGATATCATATCAGATAGCAGATCAGATCAGAACTTATCAGATAGATCAGAAACTAAGAGGCCAGCTAAATTCTCACTTTCAACGAATCAATTGGCCATATGTCTCTTGTTAGTTTCAAATCAGTCCTCAACTACTGCAGAAACAAATACCTATGTATTTGACACATTTCTGTTTGACGAGTATTTGAACGTCTTTTTTTAATTAGAACGTTTTGAAGCCGGCTTTTGACTCTGGCAAAAAATATTTGCACTTCATTCGTTTACCACTTAGAATGTTAATGGTCTGTACACCGATAACTCTTGACTATAAAACCATAAACACAAACAAAATAGAAAAATTTTATATTCTGTAATCAAATAACGCGGATAACGTTTTTTAATACAATTATTATACACTCAAGTATTTCTGCTAATTCCGTTTATGAACCGAAATTAATGAAATCAGTTTCAGTATCAGCTAGTGAAAAATACAAAAGAATGCGATTCTTATGACACATATATCGAAAAACGTTTATTGTTATATTATTAACTGGCAGGCTGCCATTCACAAAGCCTAAAATAATAGTTCACTAGCCTATGAGTTATTTATTTCTTTTCTCACGTTCATCTTTCCTATCTCTATAAGTAGGTTTTTAATTGTAACGTATTCCTATCACTAATGTTTATAATAAGAATGATTAAATCTATTTCAGTAACTCAATTATTTGACGATAGAGACGTCCTATGTGATATTCAAAAATTTGTTTAAAGGTTAATGATGATTAGTAGTTCTTATGAAAATTGCGCAACAAATAAACAATTCAAGCGGTGCAAAGTGGAAAAATGAATGTCATCCAAATTGAAGCATTGAATGAATAATAAATTGATGGTGTAATAATAATAAATGGTATTATGCTGTTCATAATACTTATAACAATCGATTTGAAATAACAAAGATAATTTCATATTTATACGCAAGCACAATATCTTTTAGTTAAAAAGTTAAAAGTTAAATTCTCTAGGACATTTTGCCAATAATAATAAGCTTTAAAATATACCGCAATGTTGTTAACACTGAATGAAAGGCAACAAAACTTGAAAAAATCCATAAAAATTGTTTTAAATAAATCTCAACATTGACTGGTTTTAACCAAAATTCTCGACAAAACTTTATTTCAATAATAACACAGGCACACAATTTTCTTTTAACGGAGTATAATATCCCCCCTGTATTTTCACCCGCTGAAACCCTAACCTCAAAAAAATAGCTCAAAATCTCGATTTTTAATTAAATAGTTAAGATTTTAAAACTATATAATAGGATCAAAATACAAACTTTTATTCCTGCATTTTTTTCTCTAAAATGCCTCCTTATGGAGTTACAGCAATTTTTAACCAATTTTAAAGATTATCAAAAAGCCTGTAACAACACAAGGAGGCATTTTAGAGAAAAAAGTGCAGGAATAAAAAGTTTTTATTTTGACCCTATTAATACATCCATGCATCTTTATGATTTTGAACTATTTTTTGAGGTTAGGGAAAAATTATGACGTAGATAAAACATTTCTGATGGCTAACTAGATACTTTTAGTAACTTTACATATGTTCAAAAATTGTATCGTTTATATCGAAAATATGCAACAATGTTATGCATATGTTCGTGAACAATCAAACATTAAAATAACGTGTCAAATGTAACGAAATAAGTTCAGCCATTTTATTTTTGTCATATAAAAAGATCGAATTTTCTTTTCGAAAATGAAGGATTTCCTATATACAGGGTGGTTCAGATTTTAATAGACAAACTTCGAGAAAGTACTATACAACAAAAATTAACATCACTTTGCTCTATGAACATAGGCGCAGAAAGTCACAGTTTATGAGATACAGGGCGTTCAAATTAACAAAAATAAAACGGTTTTTTTAAATATCTGGAAAACCGCACCATCAAATTTATTCAAATTTGGTGCACATTTTTTTTCAAATATTTCTTCTAGTTCTGTATACACACAGTCCAAATTCAGAAACCAGTAGCGGAGAAACAAGGATATCGTTTCCATATTTTAAAATAAAACTTCTACGCTACTGAATTAATTGATAATATGAATACATTTTATAATGGTCTGAAACATTCCGGATGAAAAAACATTATTTTATTTTTGTCGAAAAGTGAATGGTTTACGAGTTATGAAACAAATTATTCAAGTAAACAAAGCTTTGAAACAGGGAAAAATAAAACGAATTTGGGTGTCCCATATTTTAATACACAAACTTCGGGAAAGTACTAAACAACAAACATTAACATCACTTTGCTCTATGAACATAGGCGCAGAAAGCCACCGTTTATGAGATACAGGGTGTTGAAATTAACAAAAGTAAAACAATTTTTTTAAATAACTGAAAAACCGCTTGTTCAAATTTATCCAAATTTGGTATACAGTAAAATTAATAAAAAACAATTAAATTAAATTAATCGCTCGACGTGTCCACCTCCAACCTCAATGAATTTTTTGACAACTTTTGGTTATAGAATTCACAGCAGCTTTGATTAAAACTGAATTTTGCTTCAAATTAGCGCAGGACTCATTTAGCCTTTGCACTAGCTGGTCTATATTTACTATAGGAACGGCATAAACGTCATTTTTTAGTTTACCCCAAATAAAATAATTTAATATATTAAGATCAGGTAATCTAGGTGGCTAAGGTATGGGGCCATTCCGACCAATCCATCTGTTTTGATAGTGGTTTATCAGCCATTCACAAACTACCTGGCCAGAATGTCCATTTGAAACCAGGTCCCGATCCGTTGGTCCAAAGGTATGTCCTCCAGACTATTTTACTTTAAATAAGGAAACCACATCCTCGTTTCTCCGCCACTTGTTTTTGAATTTGGACTGTGTGCATACAGAAAGTAGGAGAAATATTTGAAAAAAAATGTGTACCAAATTTGGATAAATTTGATGTAGCGGTTTTCCAGATATTAAAAAAAAAATGTTTTATTATTATTAATTTCAACGCCCTCATAAACGGTAGCTTCTTGCGCCTATGTTTACAGAG